CTCACTGTAATGCTGTGGGAAGGATCCACTAACCGCGGTAGAACTGGAGTAGGAAAGGAATTGTTGCGATCGAGTTCTCCATCAACAGGTAAAAAGCAAAGCAAGAGAACTTTTGTAGACGCTCCGAATTGTTCTTGTGGTGACACTGCAGCTACCTCGGTCAACTCGTATAGGGTTCATGGTCGTTTGATGAGCGTGTTCTAGAAATAGCAAGAAGATTAATGTTATGTAAGCCTGGTTTAACGCGAAACTTATTTAAAAAGTTTAGTTTAGGTAATATCAAGACTAATAAAATTTCCCTTTTTTTTTTTTTTTGTCAAGTGAAATTTTAAACAATAGCTTCCCAATCGCCAACAAATAATTTACAAGTTGAAGATACACTTACAGTACAGAAGATGTTGTAGCGTCGTCGCGTGCCAGTGTTCTGTGTTGACGTCCGTCTACCAGGCTTTATATACAGGCGGCCCACACTCCCTGACCAATCACAAGCTGTTTTAGGTGAAATTGTAGCCAATGGGAACATTGCCTTGTTATGACGTCAAAGTGACGCCGGCAGGTTTGGTTGTTTGATGACGAGTAAACGATTTAAACTTTATTGTGACACGAAAGTAGTGTAAAACGTGAAAGGAAAATATTATGAAATCGTATTCAGTGCTTTACTTATTTTGGATAGAAATTGTGAATATATTACAACAGCAATATTGGCCTCAGTTTAAGTGTGAGACATTGTTAAGACACATATACATCCAAATAGTACTATTGTAATATTAAAAAAGTCTTAAACTTAAATAGAATAGTCTAAAGAAGTTAATATGAGGAATAAAATAAGATCACAGAGAGAGAAAAACAATGAAGAACAAAGCACCGAGTTAATATTAACCTTTACTTGAAATTGACCATAGAGCAGAAACAGTAAAATTAACAAAAGACAGACATATGTTACAACAATGGAGAAGAAAACGTACACGTTACAAGAAAGTAGAGTAGAGTTGTGAGCAGGGCCGGATTGAAGAGTGGGCAGTTGGCCAGGGGCCTCCACATATTATAATATTGTATTGATTTGGTTGATTTTATTTTCAATCTTTAAAATTCATGTTTATCACGTGATAGAAATTAGGCTAGCTACTCGTTGAAATTGACGACTGGGTGGTTTTCCTATGAACCGTCTATTTTGAATGAATGCTGTGGTGCTAATAATATGATATTTAGAATTGCGGAACTCCCAGATGATTAGGTTCGCTTCACTCGCCACCCCACCCTCTTGGGGTAGTTATAATGAGGGGGGCCTCCACAGGTCTAATAAATCTGGCACTGGTGGTAAGTGGTATTAAGAACCTGGCAGGCCTCTCCATACAGTGTACCTTTAGACTAACATAACTAATATTTAACAATTAACATTTAACATTGAACTAACATCTTAGCCCCCCAAAAATGTATTCCACCTCCAAGCTGGACTGAACATTATAACTCAGCAACTCAATAGCAACAGCAGGATGAACAAAGACCTAATAAAAGATTCTTTCTACTCCTACTGTATTTCAGTTTCACCACTTTTCCCTCAACCCCTAATAATTTTGTTTCACCTCTTAACTAAAGATTTCGTACTCGTACTCGTGCTGTTTGTCCTCTGCGGATGACTATAATATACTCGTCAGTTACATGGACCAGTTTCTAGTTGACATAGCAATGGTTAGAGAGATATTTGCTATCACAATTTGATAATGATTTATTGGGTCAGGTCTCAGCTCACACGTACCTTAGAGAGTAAATGTGGTACCTGATAATATAGAGTACATTTATGTCAAGGAATTATTATATAACATTTAGTAGCACGTAAGATGGCATAGTATAGAATGTTACCACGATGTTTTTGTTTTACATTGTTTGAATTAAGTTATAAATATATACTGTACGTAAAGTATTTGACGGTAATGGGAAAACATTACTCGGGGTCTTGACTTTATTAAATTCACCGTTGATAGTTCTCACCAAGGAATGGAGATGTGAGTAACTGATTGTAGGGTATGTTGTTATTTCCATCTTGGAAGGAAACTTTATTGACTACGATACTGCGACCTATGTCTATGGTGCAAATACCCAAGAGCAGTTGATGTGGATAATCCCCTCGTTTGGTTGTGACGGTGTTTACCGGAGAAGAAGTTCGGGGTCCCGGAAAGCAAGAATGTGGCCGTTTTGAGCTCATATATTTTGGCTATATTTCATGAAATGGACTTTGTTGGAGGTTGTTTGAATAATGTTGAAGATGACACCAGAGTTTTTTTTAATGTATCCTTGTACTTTGACGCCAAGGTGAAGAATAAAATGTTGAAAATTTGAAGTTATTCGAATGAGGTGGTTCGGTGAGCAGAGAGCAAATAATTTGACGGTTCGGCGGGAAGGTTGGGGTATTTAAAGGTCGAACCGGCAAGGATGCATCAGTTACAATCCGATCCTTGTGTCTGGTGTTAGAACTCCTTTAGTTTGTGAAGAAGAAAAGAAAAGAAAAGTAAAGTGTAGTATATAAAGTAGTGTTTAGACATTTGTTTGTTTGGCTGTTAGTGTTCCGCATTGGAAATGTTTTCTTAAACATTTTGTGTGGTTTTTAATACAAGTATTTGACTTGTGGCCTGTGAAACGTATTTAAGATTTCTGTCTGTGGTTAACTAGGGAGATTTTGAAGTTGTTCTTAATTCAAGTTGTTAGAGTACAGGATATTTAAATTGAAGACGGTAGTTTAATCGAAATGAAATCTTTTAAGTGTTAAACGTGTTAAGTGGTTTAAAAAGTTGAAGTGTTAATAGTGTAGTTTGTGAAATTGGCGGAATATGTTGTGTTTTTGCAAGAAATCGTGTTATTTCGTTGGTGAGTGATGGAAAGTGAATTGATGAGCATGTAGATTGTGTAGCAAGTTCATTATTAAAATATTGTCTGTATCTGAAGTTGTTTGGATGCGAAGTTCAATGTAGTTTTAAGTGATGGTGGTGGAATTTTGAAAATGAGTGAGAAGAAAAGAAAGCTGCAGCATTTATGTGTGCCTTGAGCTTGGACTGTTCATAGTGATCGTGGTGGATCTTGAAAATGAGTGAGAAAGAAAAAAGATGCAGCATTTGTGTGCCAAGTAGTAAACCATACGTGTGTGTTTTGATGCGTATAGTAGGAGATTGGAGGTGTTGTGCATATAGTGAAGTGGAAAAGCAAATAAATGTGCCGACAGCGACGTTTTGGTAAACGAGGGGTGAGGGCAGGTAAGTGACTATTGATGTTTAGCGAGGTAAAGATAGGGATTTGACATGAATAAGAATATTGATATGGGTGAGCCAATTGGTAGCCTGCTTTGAGTGTATGAAAAATAAGCGGCATAAAGCACGAGACCCAGGGTCGGGTCGATGCATCTTTAGGTGACTACATTCCAAACGTTCGACTTTACTTTTATCCTCTTCGCCACTGATCGGCTTGTTAGCCGCTTGGTCACGTCTCTTTTCCTTTATATTCTTCACGAAAAGGTCGGCTCGCTAGCCGCCTGAGAGATTGGAGCGCCTGAAGTTGCCTAGCTTATACTACAGACGGGCAAGGGGGGACCTAGTTGAGCTTTATAAGCATCTGAGGGGGCACTACTCAGTTAAGTGTCCTTGCTTGGAGCTGGCGGGCGCTCGCCCCACAAGGGGTCACAGCTCAAGATTGAAGAAGCCGGAAAATCGTGAGGGCAAAGTTTTTCGGAGTGAGGGTTGTAAATTGTTGGAACAATGTACCAGAGTGTTGTGACGGCATCGAGTGTGAGCTCTTTGAAGAGAAGACTTGACCAACACTGGAGCGGGTTCAGGTACATTGAGGAGCCGGTGCATGCCCAGTATTTGACAATAGTGCGTGACCGATTGCCCGGGCAGCTAGCGAGCTGACCTTTTGGTGAAGAATATAAAGGAAAAGAGACGTGACCGATCAGTGGCGAAGAGGATAAAAGTAAAGTCGAACGTTTTGAATGTAGTCAGCTAAAGATGCATCTAACTGACCCTGGGTCTCGTGCTCGCAATTTTACTTGTGAATACTTAGGCTGTATGTAAAGGTGATTGTGATTGGTGGATGTGTTTTGGGTTGTATGACTTTTAGGAAAATGATTAAAGGAAAGGTAGAATTTTTTGGTAATAAAATAATCCTTGTTATTTAAAGTCATGGGAAGTTAAGATATGTTGGTATATTTGGTTAAATAGTGAAGAAAATTGTATTAATGAGAGTTTTGTAGTGGGTGTTTTTTTAAGATTTTGTAGTAGTTTATTTTCAGAAAATAGCAACCGAAAGGAAGTCGCAGTGGGCTGCCGCATGAGCGTTAAGTTGGAGCCAACTAGCGTGGGAAAGGTTGATTTTTGCAGAGACGTGACCGGCACAGAGGTAGACCCCGAATTTGGAGTTTAGGTGAATGAAATTGTTGAATGGGTGTTGTGTTTGTGCTGTTATATACTGGAGGCTATATAATGGTACTACACTCTCGGTTGTGTGTGTTTATGGTCGTATTTTGTTGTCGTCTGTTAGTTTTATACGCAGATCAGAGCGTTCGAATTTATATTGTGTAAGCGTGCTTTTGTTGAATTTAATTTTGACCTCTAGTTTGTTGTAATTTCCTGAATAAGCGATGCCTTTTACGGTAGGTGTACGGAAGGCTTATACTGTGGAATAGAGAAGAGAACGTGGTCTAAGTTTGTAGGTGATGGCTAGCGCGTCTACACTTGCGGTGAGGAATTCGTCAATATGGTATTTAAAATGGAAGGTGTAGTTGTGTTTGACTAAAGAGAAGTTGTAGCTGTAATTTGAGAAGTGGTTCATGGCTAATATATTTGTATTGAGAATTAGTGTAAGTTTTATTGGTTAGGTAATAAATGCTTTTTTCAGGTTGTTGTTGGAGGTGGAAGGAGCCGGTATTTTTTTGAGGTAGACTAGGGGAATAGTGAGGGTAAGTGACGTTGAAGTTTGTAAAAGAGTTGTTAAATTTTCAATTGATTTTTGGTCTTGTGCCGTAGAGCAATAGAAATGTTAAAAGTTGACATTAAAATAAATGATTGTGGCTTGAGTTTGGTCATGTTAAGTTTAAAATGTTGAATTTTGTGCCTCGGCTGTAGATTAAAGAAAATGTAAATGAGTTTTGATAAGTTGAGTTTATTATATAGTAGTGAGAAAGATTTGATAAATGGATAACGAATGACCTTTTTTTTTTCAGGTTGGGGTCTGGTGGTGGTCCTCGGTTCTCTAGTGCACCCAAAAGTGCCTAGAGATGGGCACGGGGAGACATAAGTGAGGTGTATAAACCTGTGAAAGGGCACTACTTAGTCGAGGAACCGTACCCATAGCTGACTGACGCCCGCCTCACCAGGGGTCACAGCCGAAGGGGGGGTGCCGGCGGTAGAGCGGTACCGCCTGCAAGCGGATACGTCTCTCGTCTGATTCCCGGCCGGTGGGAAAAGTGGGCGGGATTAACACCAGATCCTGGTGTCTCTTGCCGAATTTGCAGTAAAAGAAAATTTCAGTCAAACGAAAGTTGCGGAATTTATTCGCAAAAGTCGTCGAGCCAGCCGACGTAAATGTTAAAGACTGGGGGGTTGTATGCCCTTGACATAAAATGCTATGATCCTTTAGGCAAGCACAAAGTTGGCATGCTGCCTAGTTGGGCGGTGTAGGCGCTTGTGCCCTTCACCTTGCATGGGAATAAGGGGAGGGGGGATGCCCCTCCCATTCTCCAAAAGTGTGATAATGAGAAATCGAAAAATGTTAGAGTAGAATATAGTGTTGTGTTGACCTGTATTGAATTTAACTCAAGGAGAAGGGTGGTCGCCAACCAGAGGTGGGGAAGTTTGATGTTGAAGAGTCGCAAGTGTTGTAAACGAAGCACAAAGCAAAGGTAACGCATACCTCTGTTATGGCTGAAGTGTGGGCAAGGTTGATACGAAATGAAGAGGACCTGGTCGGGTAATGAGCAGTAAGCCAGGAGCGGCTGCAGCCCGAGAAGACGGACAGATAACCGAGATGAATATTTACCGACTGAATCTTGGAAACGAGGAGGCGCGTGTAACGTAAGTATTGATGGAAGTTGCAATGCATACTTTTGTTATAATCTGAAGAGAGACATTTGGTAATTATTTGATTGTATTGTTTCATGGTAGGAGAACACAGGGGTTGAATCAGGGAGAGGGAGCAGTTTGACACTGGATACGGTGATGTGCAATGTATTATTTGAAGGTGAGTTGTTATTGTATTTGAAAGTTGTAGGTAAAGTTTGTTATAAGAGGCAAGTGATATAGGAGTTTTTTCGGGTAGCAGTACCCAGTGATGTTTAAAGTTGGGAGAAATAAGCATGGTGCATTATGGAGGTTGTGTGAAAGGTTTCTGTTTTTCAGGTTTGAGGATGGAGTGGTGGTGGGTAGTGCCGTAACCAGGTTGGACTACTACATGTATGGGGCTGTGCAATGGACTGTGTTGAGGAGAAGAAGCAGCAGTAGCAGCGGCGGCGGCGGTAGCAGCAGTGGCGGCAGTTGTTTAAGATAAGTAGTGTGGTGTGGTGCATCGTGAATTGTTTGTGATAGTTTAGGGTCATAGTGAATTTAGTTGTAAGAAATTGAGTAGAATGTAATTGTTGGAAGACGTATATAGTGATGTAAATTGTAGGTTAGTTTTGGATTAGTATATGTGGAGAATGGATGTAGCAGGTAATAGAAATGTTGGGAGTAGTGTAGAGGCATATATATATAATTGGTGAGTGGCGTTGGAGCGGTTTAGGGCGTGAAAGGTTTATGAATTGTTGTGGGGGAACTAATGTGTTGATGTGTTTGTTTTTTTAGGCCGGATTGGAGTGGTAAGCGGCAGTGATGGTGGAAGAGCCAGTGGTTATTCGGCGACGGAGATGGGAGCGAAAGGGTAAGGAGCCGATTGTTTGTGTTAAAGAGGAAGCGTTTGTTTGAATTTGGTTAAGATGAAAGGTGAATTTGTTGTGGGTATGTATGGTAATTGTATAGAAGTTAGTTGGTAGCAGGCTAGTATTGTTGTTACACACTGGAGGCTGTGTAATGATTGGTACTAGCCTTGGTGAATGGTTTGTAGTAGAGTATGTGTATGTTGGTATTTGTAGCGGTTTAAAAGGAAGCCATTTGGTTTTGGTAGATATGTCTAAGAGAGTGTATGCATGAACACTTTTTGGAATGGTGTTTATTATGGATGTTTTTTTTTCAGTGGAGCGAGTGGTGTAGGGTATGTTCCTAGTGGTAAGAGTAAGGAAGGAGACGACCAAGTATTGTGCATTTACCTCGGCGGTTACGAAGAAAGGAAGAGGCACGTCGACGACGGAGCCGGGAATAACCGCGGAGGTTGCTCCATACCAAGAGATAGTGTTTTTGTGGGTGAATTATTTGAGCAATGATAGTTTGCCCAGAAGTGTGGCCGTGAAGTGTATATTGTAGGTAGTATAAGAAGAGTGTCCCGAGTGACGAAGCCGACGGGTGGACTGCATTTGATAGAAAAGGCCATTACGAGTTGACCTCCATTGTTGTGTTTTGTCGGTTTCAGATTGAAGCGACGGGGCGAAGTCAAGTCGCTGTAAGGAGCCGAGAAGATGATGTCCTGTTAAAGTATAGCCGTCGTCCCTGTGACTGGAGCCGAGAAGAAGGCGTCCTGTGAACGTATAGCCGTCGTCCCATTGACTGGGGTGTATGGAGCCGAGAAGATGGTGTCCAGTGAATGTATAGGTGTCTGTGACTGGAGCTGAGAAGATGTCCCATGAACTTCTAGCCGTTGTCCTTGTGACCGGGGTGTATGGTGTCCAGTGAATGTATAGCTGTCGTCTCTGTGACTGGAGCCGAGAAGATGTCCCGTGAACTTCTAGCCGTCGTCCCTGTGACTGGAGCCGAGGAGA